GCCATTGGCCCCAGAAAATACAAGTTGCATATTTCCTAAGTATTAGAGCCCTAAGTTTTTTTCGCACGCGCAACTGCTTTTTCTGATCCGATCCACTCTTGCGTCGGCTGCCGCTGATCCTCTCCTTCTGGCCGGTTGCTGCTTCCCTCTTTCCCGCTGGCTGCTGCTTCCCTTTTCCCCTTCAAGTTCGCTTGCCGCCGCTCAGCCTCCTGGCCTGCCGCCAACCTGCCAGGTCCTCCAGGAGGCAGGATACTACTGCCCCGTACCCACAGGAGGCCGCCCTCTCCCTGAGATCCGCTCGGCCCGAGTGCCATCCTGTCGCCGCCGGCCCCTCTAGGAAGCTCTCGCCATCGCTCTCCAGCTGATCAGGCCGCCGCCGCCGACGTATCTCTGCCCCCCGCCGCCTCCTCGTCACAACTCCGGCCACTGCTGTCTATCTCCGGCTGCTGCTGCCGCCACACACCGAGCAGGTCGCTGCTGCCTCCTGAAGCCCTTGCGCTGCTTGCTTGATCTGACCTGGTGCGCCGCCACCCCTCCTGCAGCGGTACGTTTTTCTGCTGGGCTGCTGCTGCTCAGCTCGACCGACTAGCATCTCTGGACTGGAGTGGGTGATTGCTTGCTTGCCCCAGACCATATACTATTAGAGAAGTGGTACCCAGTCGCACCTGGGAAACTCACTCAGTGGTGGCTGCGGATTAGGTGCTCTCGCCTCCCCCGAGTGAGTTCGCTGGGATCGTCGAGGGCGGCGCGATGCAGCAGCAAGGTAATCAAGGTAGTTCCAAAGTTGCAATCTTTCGCTGTCTCCTGTGCGGTTTCTGCGGCTGATTTTGGTTATGAAGATGCCGGGCGGTTGGATTTGGGTGCCGCGGGGTGCTGTGGGGTGGGAGTAGTAAATACTAGGTGTAAGGATTTAGTGCCGGATCCTATCTAATATCTATGCTGCGTAACTCATGTTCCTGATTCACCTAGCTGGTATGTTTCTTTTTTTTTGTGTGTAAATACTTTGAAACCATTATCCTATCTAGTAAATACCTTGGAACCATGATCCCTCCAGCTGCTATGTTTCTTTCTTCTTTTGTTGTTAAATGGTGACCCCCCAGCTTCGCTAATGAACTGTGAAAGATTCCCTTAGTTGTTATGTGTTCCTGATGGTTTGGTCAGTCAGAAGTTTCTTACATTTTGTTCTCCCGATTCAGGTCTCGACATACGAAAGCTGCAGCAGGAGGTGAGGATGCGGTGGCTCAAGCCCAGAGAGGTTCTCGAGATATTGCAGAATTCCGAGCTGTTCGGAATCCATAATGGGACCTCTCAGAGGCCACCGAGTAATAAAACCAGCCTTTGTTTTTTTGCTTCTGGGATATCTGACCGGGCGTGATTAACATAGTTGGTTCATAATTACAGGTGGTTCTTGGTTTCTTTACAACCGTAGGGTGCATCGCTTCTTCCGGAATGATGGGTATCAATGGCAGAAAAAGAGGAATGGGAAGAGCGGTAATGAAGCCCATGAATACCTTAAGGTCTGTTCAACCTTTATCTGCTCTAGTCTAGTAATAGGAGTTGAAGTATGAAAGATCATGGATTTCGCCTAGAGGGGGGTGAATAGGCGGTTTAAAATAATTACGGTTTAAGCTTGAACAAATGCGGAAGAAATCTAGCGGTTAATTTGTCGAGCACAAAACCTATAACAACTAGGCTCACCTATGTGCACCAACAACTTATACTAAGCAAGATAAACAACTATGTGATAGAAAGATTTATGACAAGAAACAATATGGCTATCACAAAGTAAAGTGCATAAGTAAAGGACTCGGGTAAGAGATAACCGAGGCACGCGGAGACGACGATGTATCCCGAAGTTCACACCCTTGCGGATGCTAATCTCCGTTTGGAGCGGTGTGGAGGCACAATGCTCCCCAAGAAGCCACTAGGGCCACCGTAATCTCCTCACGCCCTCGCACAATGCTAGATGCCGTGATTCCACTAAGGGACCCTTGAGGGCGGCCACCGAACCCGTACAAATGGCAACCCTTAGGGGCGGTCACCGAACCCGCACACTTTGGCAACCCTTGGGGGCGGTCACCGGTACCCGTCAAATTGCTTGGGGCGATCTCCACAACCTAATTGGAGACCCCGACGCTTGCCCGCAGCTTTACACCACAATGATTGAGCTCCGAACACCACCAACCACTCAAGAGCGCCCAAGCAATCAAGAGGAACAAGCTCAGGGGCACAAGCACCCAAGAGTAATAAGCTTCTCAACTTGTAACTTCCACGTATCACCGTGGAGAACTCAAACCGATGCACCAAATGCAATGGCAAGGGCGCACGGAGTGCCCAAGTCCTTCTCTCCCAAATCCCACCAAAGAAACTAATGCTAGGGAGAAAAATGAGAGGAAGAACAAGAAGGAGAACACCAAGAACTCCAAGATCTAGATCCAAGGGGTTCCCCTCACATAGAGGAGAAAATGATTGGTGGAAATATGGATCTAGATCTCCTCTCTTTTTTCCTCCAAAAACTAGCAAGAATCCATGGAGGGATTGAGAGATAGCAAGCTCGAAGAAGGTCAACAATGGGGGAAGAACACGAGCTTAAAGGATAAGGTTCATTGGGGAAGAAGATCCCATTTTATTGGTGGGGAAAAATCCAACCGTTATGCTCACCGCCCGCACAGAGCGGTGCTACCGCTTGGGGTAGCGGTACTGCCTCAAAGGGTAGCGGTACTACTGCTTGCGAGCGGTACTAAAAAAATACATCCGTGCCTACCACCTGGACTTGTGACGAGTTTTTGGTCCGGAGCGGAATTAGGCACGGAAGTAGCCGCGGTAGTACCGCTCCCAAGAGCTGTAGTAAAAAATTACATCCCCTCCAAGCGGTAGTACCGGTCCCACGAGCGGTAGTACCGCTGCAGCTGACACCAGAACTGACACAACTTCTGTAAATGGACTCCGAATTCAACGAAACCCAGTTTGTTGGAGAGCTAGCGACAAGGGCTAACACAATCTTCATAGAAATAACAATAAAGAAGCAAATTAAAAAAGGACCATAAGAAAATGGTGAGAACCCTTCTTCGAATAAGACCAGTAAAACCTCCAACACAGAAAACACAATAGAAGAAGCATATGAACTCTGTTTTCGATGAACTCGAGCTTGTCAAGAAGATGACCATAAGCTCCAAATCTCACATAGAGAACCAAACAAGAGCCAAGAAAGATGATGCAAGGATGCAATGGTTTGAGCTCTCTACGAATGATACGATCAAGCTACTCATCGAGAGCCCCCCTTGATAGTACGGCAATCGATCATATAACCCGGTCTCCCAACTACCACCATGAGACCGGTAAAATAGAAGACCTATCAAGGGAAAACTTTTGCCTTGCACGAAGTCCATTTGAGCTATATGATGACGATTTTGACTCCCTCAAGTTGGATCACCTCTCTTGATTGCGTTGGCTCGATGAAGACTAGATGATTGCTCCCCCATAGTCCACTATGGGTGCCCCA